GGGATAAAGGAAAAAGGGACATACTGGTTTACATGCAGGTGGCAGGGAGCCAGTGGGGGACGGAGCGACCGTGTTGGGATCTGGAGGTCTGTTCACTTTCTCCACCAGAGGGCGTACGAGATCTCCTGGAGCTGATTGCACCACCTGTCTCTCATCTGCTCATCAGGAGATCCGTATTTAAGGATCCGGAGGGCTTCTCTCCAGTGCCAGAGTGTTTGCCAGTAACGCCTGAATCTACCTGAAACCCTGAAGAGTTTTTCTGCTGGTGATCTGCCTGTCCGTTTTCAGAAGAACTCTGGAGAACAGTTCCTGTCAAAGATCTGCCTGCCCGCTCTCAGAAGATACTGGAAGGAAACTCTAATCAGAGATCTGCCTGCACTCATTAAGCTCTGCCTCCGCCTAGCCCTCAGCCTGCCGACAGCCTCTGGACCCTCAAGGTTCCCCCCCTCAGCTGCTCTGCTCTATTCCAGAACAGTGAACCCACTCGTGACCAGACGAGTTCCCCACTGGACCTGATCATTTAACCTGTACTTTCATCTTTTAATAAACCTTTGAACTTTTCTCCTGCCTCTGAGTGTTCTGCATGTGGGTTAGACAAGTTAAACCAAACATGACAGACCGAACCCGACCCGGTGATGGTATGCTCCCCCCGCATGCCTCACAGGGCCGCCCGTGTCCAGAATACCGGCACCAGCTTGGATTCGGTCGCTCCGTCCCCCGCTGGCTGCCTGCCCCCGTCCACCTGGGTTCCCGGACCAGCAGCAACGTGCTGCCCTGTAGGCGACCAAAATCCTGGATGATTTTGAAATTCCCCCCTGGATATTTTTTTTTTTTTGGTATGAAAAGTAGGACATGTCCAGGAAAAAGAGAACGTCTGGTCCCCCTACCATATCAATGATGTTTCAGTGAGTGAGTGCTTGTTGCTATGATGCGCTTTGCTCAGCAGCTTGGCTCGCTGTAAACCAACCAATCAGAGCACAGCTCATCTAAATATTCATGATCAAACCATAAAAGGACGAAAACCTGTGGTTTCATTCTAGGGCTTTTAACCAGGCTGCATTAGGGCTCATAGAACAGCTAATATTCAGCCCAACCAATGTTACACAGTAGAGACTGGGATTCCCGTCTCTACTGGGATTCCCGTGAGATGGGAGTCAGTATTAGTAACGATCACGTGATTGGGACGGTACAGGATTAAACATTAATGGGAGCAGACGGAAGCGGGAGCAAACCAATAGTAACTAAAAAAATACTAGGATTGATGCCAAAAAATAAAATAAAATAGAAAGAAAAAAATCCAGTACTGGTGCTGCCATTTTGTAGTTTTTTTCCTTGAAGCCTACACTATAATGCGAGTCAAAAAAACGACACGACCCAAAAACCAACAGTGCTTCCGCTCTGAGTTTTTCACCCGCGCTCAAAAACAACAATGTAGGGACCAACAGTTAGCGGCGAACTCGAATTC